TGACCTCTGTCTGGTACTGGTACCCCCCTTTGCAGTGTGGCGACTCAGTCCACCAACGCTGCGGGAGCTGATCCAGACTTGTCAGATCATTGTTGTTCCCTTTTCCTTTTCCTTGCTTCCCGGCCTTCCCTTTCTTGCCTTTGGCCTTGGGATCCGTAGCCAGCACCTTTTCGGTCGCTTGGCTTCGGCCGTTCCCACTGCAACAACCAAAAGGGTTACTGCATTCCATGCCTCTGCCAGTTCCATCTACACGCTGAAGGTGGGGACCAAAATTGCCTTTTCCTGGAGGACCTCCAGACCCCTTTTGCGAGGCGTGACTAAACGGGCACTTGGACCCTCTTGAGCAGCCACCGGCAGTGTTGAAGAATCTACACGCCTTGGACTCACGGTCGTCCTGCCCGCCCTTGGATCCTCCCTGATCTGCCCCTTTTCGGCCACTACCTTTTCCCTTTCCTCCTTTCCGTCCTCCTTCGTACTTGGCTACTGGCTCTTCGGAAGGCCGCTCTTGCTGCTTCTTTTCTTTCACCCATTTCCTTCTTGCCTCATCCACGACTGCCTTGTCGTGGGAGAACTTGCAATCCTTTCCGCGGGAGCAAGTGCCCTTGTCCCGCATTTCATAGCACACCTTTGCCGCTAAGGACTCTGAGCCTTGCGCGTGAATCTGGTCTACTCCCTTCTTGCCATCCTTTCCAACCTGCTTGACGGCAAACGTGCTATTGTTTAGCGCCTTCTGTCCTGCATTTGTCTCCTCTATCTCCTTTACGACTTCATGAGCCTCCTCCCATGTCGCAACTGCGCGAAACACATTTCCCCCCGACCCATCTGGCCGAAAACGTCACGTCTTACGTCGCGGGAAAGCGCGGGCCCAATCTTCCTGAAATATTGGATCAAGGCTTCCTTCGCGTTTAGACCAAGCCCAACGCTGTCTCGATCCGCCAGGTGAGACTCCCATCGCACTTCCCACTGGAAGGCGGAGAGTTTTCCTTTCTGAAGGGCATCACCTTCTTCCAAGACGCGAATCTCTTTCTCTTCCGCAGTCTCGGAGAACATCAAATGTTTGGATTTGATTTGCCTGTACACCTCGCCCGGATCTTCCTTGATTATTCCAGAGCCGAGGTTCTTTCGGTAAATCAGCTCATACGTCTTCAAACGGTGCTGCTTCAAGCACGCCTTCAACGTGGTGAGCTTTTCCATGTCAGTCATCCCGTCCCCATCATTTGCTAACCCAATCGTGGCTTCGAAAGAGTCATAGAACTCCTGGACTGACCGGTATAGTCACTGCACTCATCATCCAACGTGGGCCAATGGACTTTTGGGCAGACTTGAATGGTCGAGCGCTTCTGTTTCTTTCCGAGTGCTTCGGCCATGACTTTCGTCTGTTTCTCGATGGCTTCAGCAAAAGCGCTCACATCTACACCCCTACTAACCTCGGACCGAGCGTCTCCTTCCAGCTCGGCGACGCGCCGCTTGAGATCCGGCACTTCTGCGGCTGGCCTCTCGATAGCTGGGCTTCGAAACCCATCTCCGTGGCCTAAGCCCACAGGAGAGCTTTCTCCGCGGCCCCTGCCCGCTGGAGTGTAGTCCAACACCTTCGACGGACCGCTCTTATCAGGCGTCCCTTCATTTGAAGAGAAGACCTTTCCCATGGTTTTTGCTGAGTTTCCCGCCTCTCTCCTGAATCATATGCAACAGGACTTCTAAACGGGCTTCATGCTCTCCTTCTTGCTGTTCAGGTGGATCTTCCAACAATAACTCGCGGAAAAACTCTTTGAGAGAGGCGAGCTGTTCCTCAGGCGTTTGCCCCTGAACCTTTTCTGAAAAATGGCGCGAGCCACCTTGAGCTCCACTTCTTGCATGTCCACCTCAGCTCCCATTTCTTGCAGGACATCTGCAATTCGGCAAATCCTTCGCGCAAACTTCTTTTCTGTTTCTTTATTCCCATCGTAAGGCCGTGCCATTGCGTGCTCAAGTGCTTCGGCAGTAACTGATGCCTTGAACACACTTTCGTTGCCGACAGTAGAAGAATCGAAGCAGGAGTCGCTCTCCCATCCTCCAGCGCAAACCTATCAGGATGTTCTGTCGATCTCCCGGCGCCGGTGGCCGCACGGTCCCTTCCAGTCCCATCATCCGCACTCAGCAGCTCTTCCTCCTCCTGACTGTCGCTACTTCCTCCACTTGCTTCTCCTGGGTCTTCCTCATGGAGCGCGCGCATGACCTCGCGCCACAGCTCCGCTTCTTCACCATTTGTAGTGGTACCTGAGGTATCCCCACGGCGGCGCGAAGGCCTTTGTCCTTCCGCTGCCCGCCAAGCAAGCCACTTTTTTTGTATCGGAACCTTTCAGGCCGCGGCACCACACCTGCCTCGATAGCTTCTAGCAAGGTCCCTTCGTATCCGCGGACTTGCTTTGCCATCTCAGCAGTGAGCCTGAGGCCTCAACTGCTTATCCTGGGGTCTTTGACACCGACTTCCCAGAACAGCCCCCAACTGCGAAAGCGACGTGTCGGCTCGAGAACACCGCTTGACTTTTCGTCACACAGTCGAGGCTGTCAGGCTTCGTGCGCTTTGCACCTTGAGCCAAAAACCAAAAGGCGGGCTCTTTCAGCCTAGCCTCAACCTACCTAACACCAGGAAGAGCAGGCACCTAGGAGAACTCCTGTTTCACAAGTAGTAGTAGTAGTAGTAGTAGTAGTAGTAGAAGTAGTAGTAGTAGTAGAAGTAGTAGTAGTAGTGTTAGTAGTAGTTAGTAGTAGTTAGTAGTAGTTAGTAGTAGTTAGTAGTAGTTGCTAGTAGTTAGTAGTAGTTAGTAGTAGTTAGTAGTAGTTAGTAGTAGTGTGTAGTAGTGTAGTAGTTAGTAGTTAGTAGTTAGTAGTTCGTAGTTAGTAGTTAGTAATTAGTAGTTAGTAGTCAGTAGTGAGTACTTAGTAGGTAGTAGTAGTAGTAGTAGTAGTAGCAGTAGTAGCAGTAGTAGTAATTAGTAGTAGTAGTAGTAGTAGTAGTTAGTAGTTAGTAGTTAGTAGTTAGTAGTTAGTAGTTAGTAGTTAGTAGTTAGTAGTTAGTAGGTAGTAGGTAGTAGGTAGTAGGTAGTAGGTAGTAGGTAGTAGGTAGGTAGGTAGTAGGTAGTAGGTAGTAGGTAGTAGGTAGTAGGTAGTAGG